GTGTGTGTGTGTGTGTGTGTGTGTGTGTGTGTGTGTGTGTGTGTGTGCGCGCGTGTGTGTGTGCGTGTGTCCTTTAAAAAAATAAAAAATTACCAATTACTCTTGGACTGTACAATGGTGGCATTACTGTTGCCTATTGTCTGCTTTTGTGACTATAAATCAAGTTATTATTATTATTATTTATTATTATTACTTATTGTTGAAAATTCACTTACGAATTCTAGTATACTGAATAAAAATAAAATAAATAAAAAATTGTGTTGTATAACATAGCGGAATCAAACAAACGACTATAATACGCGGATGGGGGTGTCACCACACTTATTGGAGCGGAATCACATAATAAGAGCTAAACAGACGTTTTCTCAAACAAGCTCGGTAATGTTAAATTTTTATTGAATTGATATTTTTTGATAATTATTTATTTATTTGATGATAATTATTTCTTGTGAAATTACTCCACTAGTTTGTTATAACTATTAATACAAAGATCGAACACTCAGAAAAAATTCCTTCGATCCGGCCGGATTCGAACCGACGTCTTACCGACGACGTTTACCGTGCCAGACACTATACCAAATAAGCCACGGAACAAGCTCGGAAATGTTTGCATTGCTTTAAAAAAAGAATCCACAAAGTTTATTAATTAATTATGGCGCATGCTAATCTTTACCAGCCTAGGCTGGCAAAATAAATATGAAAATCCGTTAACATCCGCTACTCTATACTTTTAAACAGATCTACGGATAAAAGGTTAAAGCTAGCAAGCTTCTTTTACATCTAGTAAACAGACTAAATAAAAACTGTCATACAGCGAACTGCTCACTAGCATGAGTGTCCGTAATTGCGAGAACTAAAAAAATATTGTCTATGGTTTTACTTATGTTGCGTTCAACTGTGGTGCACGAATGTACCTTTTTGCATTTTTTATGTTTTCTTCGCGAAAATTAGCTCTAGTGAGAAGACCGAAAATGCAATAATAGACTGTAATGCAACGGAAGTGTCATAACGGAAACGACGTCAAAAGTAAACTTAGCTGAAACTACAAAGAACTCAACAAAATAATTCCAAACAGGGCTTGTTTTTGATTTCATTATTTGCACAACAATGCAAAAAAATTACACTACACAAAGCTACTAAAAAAGTTTCGATAAAAATGTTGCGGAAGCAGAAACAGAGGTTTGTAGCATCACTAATGGACTATACTCTGCCTAATTTTCAACAAAAAGCAATATTTCCATGCAAAACTAGTTTTACTTTTTCTATTATATATTTTCCTTCATTCTTTGGTCTTTTATTATTTCCCCGCATTGTTTAAGAAAAGCACTATATGTACCTCGCAGGAACCGGGATTGTCTGACTCGTATAATACAAGGTGTCGCGTCTCGCTGCGTTCAGCCTATGTAAAATTTTTATACAAGCGAATAGTAAGTAGTGAATATAAATTTTAACAATTTGTATATTTATTGTATAGTCCATTTGTTGAGGTACTTAACTTAATGTAAATAATCTTGATATATATTTTTATTAGAACATATACTTTACAAATCAATAGATATAAAAATAGGCATGCAATTTCATATGAAGCTAAGTATTTGTATTTTATATTTGAGGTAAGTAAAAATAATTTTATACATGTATATTGCATTAAATAGACATCATAACATCGTTTACATTTAGTTAAATACATAAACAAATGGACTATAGTTATGCCTGCTTTAATTATTCAAATTCAACAATAATTTGCCTTCAGGTCTTTTCTCAAAATTTTACCAGTAGCGCTTTTAGGAATATTATCCAGGAAAACAATATCATCGACTCTCTTAAAAGCAGCCACTCTTTCTTTAACAAACTGACTTATCTCTTCAGCTTTAACTTCTTTGCCTTTTTTAAGGACAACGAAGGCTTTTGGAGCTTCCCCATTGACCGGGTGTGGTACTCCGACGACTGCTGCGTCTGTGATCGAAGGATGTTCTCGTAGCACTGCTTCTAGTTCTGCTGGTGGCACTTGGAAACCTTTCACCTGGAATTCCAAAGAAATCCTATTATTAATGTATAGGTTCTAAATACCAGAGCGGTATAATAACAACTTTCTTTACGATCCCGACTGATCTTATCCTTATTTAGTTTTGCCTGTACAATTACAGGCACTATAAATAGAAAATAAGAACTAATAAATACATGGAAATATTCATTAAAATCATAAATTGTTTTCACAAATAATACTCAATGTTGGCAAATTATTAACATGTAAGAAAATATCGAGTTCTTTTCGCGATTGTTACACATAGGAAATGAAACTATTTTTCCGGATTTAAATCGCGTATATTTGTTTTTTCAAACAAACCGACGTTTTGGGCCCGTTACAGGTGTAACATCCCCTTACAGAATGCAGGTTACAAATAATTTCTTCATATGGAACACGACGAGGAGCCACTGCGTAATTCAAACCCTTTTGCAAAACTGAAAAAGCAGACTGATCTAACGTTTTGTTCGATAAGTTTATTACAGATTGAATGAAACTTTGAGGATTGTCTACTTAAAAACAACATGAGAAAGGAAGATTTGGAGGCAATACGCCAAGACATTTCGTCAATATTGCGTTCAAATAAACAGCCCAGACCGAATCTTACTCGAGATGAATATAACGTGCTGAAGACCTTCCGCGAAGATCCTGAATTAGTCATCCTCCGTGCAGATAAAGGTAACGCGACTGTGGTCATGAATACGTCAGATTATAACAGCAAAATAACTGACTTACTATCGGATGAAAGCACGTATAAAAAGGTGAAGAAAGACCCTACCACCAAGATATTAAAAACAACAACTAACTTAATATCTAAGCACTCCGATACGCTGAAACTTGATGTAAGTGAATTTGTGCCCTGCTGCGTAAAACCCCCTAAACTGTATGGGTGACCAAAAATACATAAGGCTGACACCTCACTCCGTCCCATAGTTAGCCAGATTGACACACCAACCTACAAACTGGCTCAACACATGGCAAAGGTACTGTCACCATTGAGAGGGAACACTTCTACACATGTGAAGGATTCATACCATTTCATCAGTGGAATCAAAGGTCTACGGTTAACTGATGATGACACCATGGTCAGTTTTGATGTTCAGTCGCTTGAAATTGTACGTAGAAAGCTGAGGGAACATAATATGTCCATTGAATATCCAGAATTATTAGAACACTGCCTAACATCAGGCTATATATTGTGGAATAATGAATTCTACCTACAAATTGACGGTATAGCAATGGGCTCCCGTTGTTGATATTTTCATAGAAGACTTCGAGGAGCGAGTTTTACCCATGGCCCCAGCTAGGCCGAAGATTTTCAAACGGTACGTTGATGATACTTTCACAATATTACCTAAAGATAGCATACCTTCTTTCTTGAACCATCTTAATTCTTTTAGTATTAAGATCATTGACTTACAAATAAATGGACGTCGGGTCCGCGCTAAAAAGTGTCCGCAATTGTAAGGCGCTAAAATCGTATACAGAGCGCGACACTCCGCTTTAGTCTTCATTTGTTCTACGGACAGCGCGATACTGCGATGACATAGCAATTTAAATTTCGAATAGGTTGACTTGGGACATTTTTTTCGTGGTTTTTGTATTAGACCCGTCGTCCATATATTTGTAAGTCAATGATTAAGATCCAATTTACTATGGAACAAGAGAATTGTGGTACTTTAGCTTTCTTAGATGTTTTAATTAAAAGAAATCCTAATAACACCTTAGGCCATACTGTATTTCGAAAGAAAACCCATACAGATAGGTATCTCAATGGTAATTCCTATCACCATCCTAGCCAGTTAGCTACCGTGGGCAAATCTTTGTTTCAGAGGACATGGGGTCTGCGACAGTAATCATCTGGCAGGAGAACTTCAACATATAAAGCAAGTCCTACATGCGAATAAGTTCAAGATTCCACGCCAATGCCACAGGCCCCGTGTGAAACCACCAACAGTCGAGCGAAGACCTGCCATCTTACCTTACGTGAGAGGTGTTACAGACAAGATCGGAAGAGTCCTCAGGCGCGCATCTATCAAGCCCTTGAGGAAGATTTCTCAGTTCCTGAGACCCGTGAAATGTAACATCCCCTTACAGGATGCAGGAGTTTACAAGCTTGACTGTGAGTGCGGTCTCTCTTATATTGGACAAACAAAGCGATGTATTTGTACCCGCGTCAAAGAACATATAGCTGATGTCAAACACCGTCGCGTAAACAAGTCTGCAGTCTGCGAGCATGTCATGGATAAACCTACACATTCAATGAAGTTTGACAAACCCCAGGTCCTTGCAAAAGAAGTCCGTTATCTACCCAGGATGCTGCGAGAGGCTATGGATTTTAAAAAAACATCCTAATTTCAACAGGGAAGATGGTTTCTCCGTACCACCAGTTTGGGATCCAGTATTTCCTCTAATGAAAAATCCCAAACTAATATAATATGTTTTAGTTTATTCTAATTTCTATTAATAATTAATAATAAATTGAACTTAATAAAAATTCATTCAATAAAATAATTTGTAAAATTTAATATAGCGTAAATTGGAATGTTTTCTTTGTAAAATTAAAATATAATATTTAATTAATAACTATTGTAACTATAGTGAAAAAATTGGGTGGTTTGCATCAATATTAGACATAACTGGTTGAAGACTATACCACCTCAGTCAACCATGACCATGGGACCTGTAAAGGGCCCGAAACGTCGGTTTGTTTGAAAAAACAAATATACGCGATTTAAATCCGGAAAAATAGTTTCATTTCCTATGTAAGAAAATTTTACAAAAGTTAAAAAAACTTTTTAATACAGGCTATTTATTTAATTTATTTTGTTGTTTTAAAATACATTAAATGTTTTTTATAGTGCTCAGCCATTTGTAATATTGTATGGCATTACTTTGTAATCTATTTCAATAAGTATAGCATTTTCTATTGGAAGAACCCCCAACCTTCTTCTTGGTCACCCATTGTTCATTTTAAACATATTCTAGCATAAACTCTTTACCAAAATCACATATTTTTTTACAAACCAGATACTTAACAGAAACTACAGAAATCGATGGTAGAAAAGGAATTTTAGAAATAAATGTAAAATTTTAAAAATATAAATAGGTATTAAAATACGCTGTGTAAGCTATGAAAATTATTGTAAAACTTCACATCTCAGTCCAACGTAATAACTTTCCGTTTATATCGATAGTATTAGAAACAAATAGCGCAATCGATATAAATGAAACGTGTAATAATAGAGATTGTAATTAATTTCACATTTGTTGTACCTAATTGTTTTACATTGACGAGCTGCAATTTACCAAACCTACTCTAATTTCTAGTGATAACAAACCAATTTACTTCGATGGGGCCATAACATTTAAAAGTAGGAGTAACAAACCTATCAACTAGATGGCTCTTATTACACAGATTTTTACGATTATGATTTTATTTTGTTTTATTTATTCGTTTATTTTGTTTAGGATTGGCGCCATCACTCAATGGCACCAATCGCATTTTTGTCAAAATTTCAGAAAATAATTTTAATGTCGTTGAAAGACCAAGTACAAAGACACGACCCAAGCACATAGAGAAATTCGTGAGGTCCGTTGGTTCGTTCCGTGGCTTAGTTAGTATAGCGTCTGACACGGTATGCAAGAAGACCTCGGTTCGAATCCGACCAGATCGAAGGAATTTTTTCTGAGTGTTTTTTCTGAGTGTTCGATCTTTGTATTAATAATTATAACAAACTAGTGGAGTAATTTCACAAAAAATAATTGAATATCAATTCAATAAAAATTTAAATAATTTTAATGGTTAATATTTGATTTATATTAGGTACAAGGAAAAAACTGACTACTTGCATTACATATTTTATTAACGAGGAATTCGTTGATATCCCCGGACATTTACATAATATAATTATACCACCTCCAGGCTATCGGTTAGCGCCATCTAGACAGAAGACGGAATTTTGACATTTTTGAAACGGCAGGGTTACCTATCAGTAGTTCGAAATGACATTTGCCAGAAATAACGTTTGGTCGAAATTTCATAAACTCGAAAGTAATATTAAGAGGAATATGTTTTTTTCTTTTAAACCCGACGTAACCTAACCTAATCGAACCTAATCGTGTCTTTTCGATAAACAATTAACATATCCATTTCGTTACAATTCCGTTTTCGGTGTAACGAAAATTCGAACAAACGTTATTTCGGACAAAAAAGTTTTGATTTTGTAATTGGTTACCAAGCGGCAGATATTCAAACCATATTTGTATTGCAAAAACGAGCGATTCGTTCTGTCTACCGTTTAGGCTCTCGGGTTTCTCTGAGAAAAGTTTAAAGATACTGGTATCATGACTGTGGCATCACAGTACATTTACTCAAATATTTTATATGCCCGTAAACATATACATAATTTTAATAAGAATAAAGATATCCATAATATTAACCTTAGAGCTAGGTCGAAACTCATGGTACCACGATTTCGTTTAACCAAGGTAAACTACTCTTTTATGGGGAACTGTATACGTTTTTACAATAAGATTCCGGAGAATATCATTTCTTAAGTTTAAAAACTACATTAAAAATATTTTGATTGAAAAGTCATATTACCAAATTGAAGACTACGTGTTAGATAAAGAAATAGAAAGACGACATGGCTCCAGAATTCACACAAATTTGATTCCAAGTGTATTTCATAGCATTCAAGTTTATTTGAAAAGAGCAATCCCTAGAGTTTCTTGTTTGTTCTTCTCAGGGAAGTCAGCGTAGTGAACGAGCAGTAGCTTAAATGTGACATTTTCAATAAATGATTCTTTGTTACGGTCTGTAGTATGGATTATATTAGCTGTCCTCTTCAGTTATTAGTCGTTCATGATATAAATAACCGACAAGATCAAAGAATATAACTCATTGCTGAACTAAACTAGTTTGACACGATGTAAAGTGCTAATACATAAACGTGTTGTTGATGAAAAGTTTGACAAATTCACACACGAATACAAACGCAAAACTTTTATTATTTTTACCTTAATAAGTTCTTTGAGACGGTCTGTGACAGTGACAACACCATCCTCGTCAACAATTGCGAGATCTCCTGTCCGTAACCATTCCTTATCAAAAGACTCGGCGTTGGCTTGCGGATTCTCCCGGTATCCTTTCATCACTTGGGGACCTCGGATTAGTAGTTCACCAGACTGGAAAGAGACACCATATAATGAACAGTGCCTCTACCACGAGTCTACTGTAACAGTTAAGTTAAGTTAACTAATATAAAACTGTTGGCGTTGGTATATATCAAATTATATATTAGTAAGTGTAACAATTATGAGACTAGTCCTCTCTTCTACTATTTGCTGTGCCCTGTTCAGGGTCCATAATTTGATCTCAATATATGTAAAACATTTGTAATGTACATTATGGAATGCAAATAAATAAATTAAAAAAACAATCCCTGTAATCTCATGGTAGAGGCACAGGTGGAAAGTCGTGTTAAATTATCAGACTACGTTCTTTGAAAAGCCTGATAGCAAAATAGGACATATTTGTGATTTTGGTGCCGGAGACTAAAATTCTCGTAGACAACAAATTTATTTAAATTCTTTTCAAGAATATTTCAGCTTGCGACACAAATATTTTCTTTTCTCCATTGTCTTTTTGACATTTAGTCACTTTAGAGCTTCTTGTGAAAGGGTTCGTCCAAGGAAATACTGTCACCTTGCCTATTTCTGCCGCCAAGCAGGTACGTGAGCATAACTGCGTTTCGGTTTCGAAGGGTAAGGGTGCTGGTGAAATTACAGGCATATGGGTCTTGTCAAATTATGTCTCAGAGTGACGGGCGCAGTGAGTGGCAGTGCCCCTCAGATCTTTGCGATTTAAAGGTCTGAGTGGCACTGCAACAGTTGTGGACAGGCGTGTCGTTTACCATCAGGCGCATGACTTATTCGTCCTGTCACTTGGTATCATAAAATTTAAAAAAACATTCTCCATAAATTGTACGTATTGATATCCGCCAAACTTTAACTGCATTGTTGTTTATGTTTGAGTCTTTAGACGAACTTTGATTAGCTAACCTGATTTGGTCCCAAATTATTTGAATCACCATCAATGATCCTGATTTCACTACCGGGCACTACATGGCCGACTGTTGCGTATCTCTTCGATCCCCTTTGAGGCAGACAAATGACTGGCGACGTCTCTGTCAGACCGTAGCCTTGCCTGAAATCTATGTCACGCTAGAAGACAGAAATAATCATATTGTTATTACGTGTGCATATTGAATAGCAAATCAGGAAACAACAAATAATCAGAAAACAACAATTCCGACAACCCTAAACAAAAAATTTGTTAAAACTTACGACATGAAAAAATTCAATGGCAAAACGTTAGTGTAGGTCTCTTTAAAAACAGAACACTTCTTTCGGTCTTGTGCTTTTATCATCCAACTATTCTCCGCCAGTTTGGTTGCCTGCCTACGTTTTTGTACCCTTCTCTTGGTATCCACTCAAACACCCACTAACCGATCTCACAAGGAAAGACACACGGTAGCTCTCCCGCAAGTCATTATTAATTAACGTAGAGTTAACATTATTAATAAGTATTGTACTTGTTTTTTTTTCTAAGGCTCAACTCACACTGGCGCAGAGTCGAAGCGTCGCGATGAGTCGTGTTTTTCGCCTATAGTATATGCATCTCTATTTTCCCATTATTAAGGTACAAATTTGTGTTATGCAAATATGGAAACGGGCGTCGACGCGCGTCGCACCGCGTCACTTGAGCGCAGTGAGGCGTCACACGCCTACCACACTATGATCCGGGCGCACTAATGCGAGAGTCGCCGAGCGTTGTAGTTGAAAAACCGTCCGGGACGCGACGCTTCGACTCTGCGCCAGTGTGAGTTGAGCTTAAGTGTTCGATCTTTGTATTAATAATTATAACTAGTGGAGTAATTTCACAAAAAATAATTGAATATCATGGTGGTGAATATCCTAACATTCAATAAAAATTTAAGTACTGTACTTGTAATTATAAATAAATGTAATACTTGTCTTTATTGATTTTTTTCAGTATTTTAAGGTGTATGAATAAAAACTCAAAAAGTAGGTTAAGAATGAGCTTATTGAAAACATTAATGTTACTGAATAATTTACCGAAAACTTTTGTGTAAATTAAAATACACACCACAACACAATGAAATATTGAAAGTTCCGAAAAATCTTGCTGACATAATACTACTCAACCAACCTATAATTTACAGTTAACTTATTTCTAGACATTTTTTGAACTAAATTACCTATTACACATTAAAAAGCGACTTTTATACATTTTATATACAGAGGGCCATGGAAAAAACATTGCTCGGAGTTACCCTGCAAGGCCGAAAAAGCAACACTTGGATCCGAAATAGGACCAAAGTTAAAGATGTCATCACTGTCGTGGCGAAGAAAAGGTGGGCATGGGCGGGGCACATTGCGAGAATGGACGAGAGGCACTGAACAAGGGGAGTGCTTGAGTAGAGACTCAGAGAGCGCGGCAAACCACCGCAGCGCTGGAAGGACGACATCCAACGACACGTGTGAGTCGGGCGCAATATAGCCAAGAATGAATGAAAAGGGAAGAAGCCTACATCCAAGATTGGATAATACATGGTTCACATGGTGATGATGATAATATATTTCATAAATTTTGGTGCTTGTTAAACCATTTCGATCATACAGAAATACTACCATGAGTGACAACAATATTACATATATATGACAACATGGGAACTCGAGTAAGGAAGACGAGCTCGAACAGTCCGCTGCAATTTCATTCGTTTTTCGTTTTCCTCTATTATTTCCCATTTTTAAGTATTTATTTATTATCAAATAGATAAAAGGTACATAATAACATGTACAACAACTTGTTATCACCTTTCCTATCTAATGTTCCTGTTATAACCAAATGACTTCTACCTTAGATTATGACCAAACACATGTCCATGAAAAGGCGTGATACATTGTAAAGTTACGAGGAGACGCATGAGGTATGTACCTGAAGCTGGGCATGGATTCACGCGTCTTTGACGATTTATATGACCTCTATGTGATATGCAAATGTAATACCAATGTGTTCCTTCATGTTAATATTATAAGTAAACCAAACCCCACGTAGTAATCAAATCCAGAATATTTTAATAAGTGAAAAAGCGTTCTCCTATCAAGACTGTCACAGTTTTTTAACCGAGCTATTTATTTATATGCTAAACAGTGGTTTCCAATTGTATACTCACGAAACTTAGGCAACTAATTCTACAATGCAAGAAAAGTGGTAACCAAGTGAGAATATAAGTACAATTGGTCTTCATTAACGATATTCGATTTTAAAATTACCTGGGCTTTATTTAAAAATTGTTTAATGTCGCTGTCACTAAAAGAAGCTGCTCCGCCTATAACCATCTCTATGTTCTGGAAGGTTTTCATCGTCGCTGCTGGATGTGTCGTCATTAGAAGAGCTGGAAATTTTTCATTCATTCTTTAAATAAACTTTTCAAAATATGCGTTACGTACATGTTACGTACAAATTTATTCTATTCTATTTCCTTAATGGCGGCCGCTATGCTTGGGCAAGCTAATTCGTCATCATAATATGTCACATATGATATGTCACATCTTTTTTTTAACGAACTTCAATGATATTTTAATTTTACTATTGTTTACATTTTAGTGTTACATTTTATTAGTGTTTATTTTCTAAAAAATGAGTGCGCATTTCACCTCCATCTCACCTGATGGAAAGTGACGAAAGCACGCACACCTAAATAATGCCTATTCACTCTCGCCTTAAAAAGGTCCAAGTTATGGCGTTCGGGGAACAAGTCCGCAGGCAGAGAATTCCACTCCCTAACGGCTCACCATATAAATGTGGAAGCGAAACGCTTCGTGTGAATCCTGAGAATATTCACAACGTAGGGGTGGATCCCCAGCCCAAGTCTTGGCCCCCGATGACGGAAAAGGGAAGACAGAATCAAATTATGCAATTCTATCGCACACTCTCCGTGATATTATACCGATGAGCACGCAACTCTACGGCGTCATCTCTCAGTTTCTCATCATTTCTATACAAATAAAACAGTAAATATCTATCTATCTATAAGAGTTAATAATTTCACAACTTAGACTTTTTTACTTTGACTGAAGGTAAGTAGGTAAGTTTGAACCTAAATTTGAAAAAAATTTAGTAATGCATACAAACACTATTTAAAACTCACAGATTGGCGGAGCAACAAACAAGAGGTTTGTTTTAAACTTCTCTAAAGCTCTGAAGAATGGTTCAGGCTGGAATTTATCAAGGGTGACCAGCTTGATGCCCTGCGAGAGTTTGTGGAACATCACCACTGTGCCGCCATAGACGTGGAAGAACGGCAACACAGCCATCACTGCGTCTTGATGGGTTGCTGGAAACATGGAAAACTATTAATATAATTATATAATTTAAAAAACAAAAGTAAGTAAAACAGTAAAAATGTTGGATTTTGGACAGTAGTGAATCAATACGTATATTTTTCGCAAATTGCAAGCGCACGTTGTTGTACAATTTTTTTGCCTTTTTTGAATGACGACACGCATTCTGAGTTGACAACTGTAGGGCTAGCACGATAGGGCGCGACAAGCACGAGAGTGATGTAAAGCGCGACATACTACTATTCTCGCATAGATATATAGCGCTTTATGTCGCCCTCGCGCAAGTCGCGCATCACCGTGCTAGCCCTACTAGTGCCGTTTAAGTGGCAATATACATATATATTTATTAAACTCTTTATTTATTTTTAAATCATTGTAAGCGTAGTTTTAGGTACAGTCAACGGCAAATCAAGATATACACTTGTGTTCGAATATCGAATCCTGAGTAACTGTTTCGTACGGATGTCGGACGAAAGACGAGAGTAGAGGTCAGTCAATGTGTACTATATATGCGGACGTCATTACTTGAAAAGTTTTATTTAAATGAAATAATATATTTTTTATTCTATATGTATATATTTCTAAGATCGTCTATATGAATATAATAAGCATTCCGCAAAGTACGCTAAGCATCTATCAGAATACTATGTATTGCAATAAAAATTAAATAAAAATTCAATACCCGAGTGCCTAAGAAGTGAGACAAATTACAGAACAGTCACTAAACAAGTAAAAGTAGTTATTACTAATTGATAAATGCTATTATAACTTAAATGAATTTTATATTGACAAACTTACGTAGTTATTAAATTAAGTTATTGTTATTTTATGTATTTGAGTATTTGACGAAGACTGATGACGGATAATTGACATGTTATTCAATGTATTTGGTAATGTATAAAATAATGTAAACCTAAAGGTAGCGACTAAGTGCCATACCCCTACGGGGTGTCATAGCAATAAGTACTTGCCCAATGGAACTTGTATTGTTATGATCTGCATTTTAAATAAATTAATTAATATGTTTTTTTAGACATTTATTGCAACTCCAAAACACAAAATAAAAAATACAATGAAACAAAAACAACATAAAAGACAAAACTGACAAAAAGCAAAAAACAAAATATAGCGATTACAAATTTTGTGTGCTGTTGTGGCGTACGCAAAAGGACTTCATTCAACAAAAAGCCACAGCCATAATTGACTGTGGCATGTGGGTTTCAATGAACCCTGGAATCCCATATTATAACCATAATATATTCATAACTTTGTACACTTTAAAAGTAGTCCGATTCCTTATTGGACGAGGAAGGCACGAGACCGGTGAGGTAGTAATGGCGTACAAAGGAAGACACGTATCTCAGCATTAGATGCGTAGCGGTTGAAAAGAGACTGCACTTCTAAGGCTCCTGAAGGTTTTTTTGTAATCATAGCACAATTAACGTTGTTTCAATTGTGTAACGTGCAAACTAGATACAAGCCAAAAAACAGGTGGCGCGTCTTCCCAAGAATTCTCGCGCAGTCTCGGGAATTCCCGCTATTACCGTATCGTATTTACTTTGTATGTTACACAATTTCTATAAAGTTCATAATGCTATGTACAATTTCGTTACGAAAATTCGCTTCCGCCACAATAAAAATTGAACCTAAGTCCTTACACCGAATCGTCTTAGATAGAATAATAATTTATTTTGATTTATTAAATTAAGTAATTTTATTTTACACTCCAAAAACCTAAATAAATTATTTTGAGAATTGCAACTCCCTACCTATACAGAGTATTCGCACATATGTGGGGCGCACTATAAGTATCCGGAATGAATAAGAAAAAAATACTGTAAATAGTCAGAAATGAATTTATTTTCAAAATGTTCTCCGTTAGCGTCAATGTACTTTTTCATACGAATAAACCAATTTTGAAAACATTTATGCCACTCCCCCGTGACAATCTCTGAAACATAATTTTGATACTCTTCGACGGCCTCTTCAGGTGATGAAAATCGTTGACCGCGTAACTGGTTCTTAATTTTTGGAAATAAGTAAAAGCCACAAGGTGCCAGGTCGGGACTGTACGCGGGATGGCTCATAAGGTCAACGTTGTTCACCTTCAAAAATTCATTTGTCTGTCTGGCCGTGTGAGAACTGGCATTATCGTGGTACAAGATGATACAGCGTTTACGGCTATTTTTACTGAGTTTGTCAATAACTTCCGGCAAACAAATGGTCGTGTACCAATTACTATTCACGGTACAACGATTCTCCAAACCAACAGTAGCCACGTGTCTAATTTTATTAAAATAAGAAGCAATCGTCCGCTTAGAGGCACTTTGCACGCTCGCCGCTTTGGTTGGTTTCGGCTCATCTCTAAAGTCCCATACGCTCGATTACTGCTTTGTTTTGGGATCGTAACTATAAATCGTCACCTGATACTATGTCCTACACCAAATTTGACGCCCCTTCGTTGAATCTGGTAAGCATGACATTGCAGCAGGTGAAGCGATCCGTTTTTTGAGCCTCAGTCAAATTATGTGGAATCCACCGAGAGTACAGCTTTTCCACACCCAAATGTTTGTGTGGTATTGATTGTATTTGACTCATGCCTATGCCTAAAGATGCCCAAATCTCATGGTATGTCACATACCTGTCCATTTTGATCATACGGCGCACAGCATCGATGTTTTTATTATTCACAGAAAACCAGCTATATAGTCGTCTTGCATGGTGCTTCATCGCCAAAAGCAGTTTGTAGCCGAGCGAAGAAAATCATACTACGAAAATTTTCACGAGTTAAATCCATGGTGATGTAAACAACCAATTTGTAAAATGACGCCACAATGTAAAAACAAGTGACAATCAGATGAAATAAACTGTATTCTACAGCCAAAGAGTTCCATTTTTAAATGTTATAATTACTTTTTAAATATTGTTTATGTAAGTGGACAGTTCCGGAAACTTATACTGGCCCTATGGATAATGTTAGCCAGATAATATAATGGAGATAAATTTTATCTCCATTATCATATTGTACGGGACGGCCGCTTGTAATAAATTAAAATAGATTTAAGTACTTATCATTTATAACCTATTGCGTTTTATTTACTTCCTAGCTGCGTAATTAAAAATATTTATGGTTCGGTCTTTTACTTCGCAAATAGATAGATTAAGTAAAATATACAAATAGGTAGTAACTAGAAATGGAAAAAAGGCAAGCTTATCTTAGGAAAAGATTTCCTCAATAGAATATATAGAATAGATGTAAAAATGTTAAATAAAACCGCGGCTCTCGTTAACGTATTAATTAACGTTAACTCATAGCTTCATATGCGGCAGTGTTCCCCCCGCGCCTCCCCGCACTTCGACCCCGCAAACGGCTGCGAAAAGGACAAAAGACGCGCGGGACACGGCCACCGCGTTCACTCCAGCGCCGAGCCCGCCCGCAACAGCAACAAAGAAAAACAGAAGACTCCAGTTCGCATTCAGTCTAGCGCCAGCCCGCAACAGCAACTATAGAAAAGACTTCAACAGTACCGTACGAAGCTGCAATACGGCTGTAACCAGCATTTTTATTTCGACCCTCGCCGTCCCGGAGCTCACATGCACATATTAAGATATTATAGACCTTTGGGGATTACCTACATACATGTTATACCTACATATATAAATATCATCATGCCTGTTGGCCTTTTTAAGGACATCCCCAATCTGATGGAGATCAACTTTATAGGTCAAAATTCTCGGCAGACTGATAGCACCATCAAACTTTATCCGCATCTTTTTCATCTCCCAACATGTATCGCTCCTAAAAAAGAGCAAGATATGTTGGCCCAGAGTTGCCGACTGAAGGCCAATACCAACGTATAGACTGCCTATTTGCCTTGCCTTACATCGCTCGCCTAGCTGGCCGAGTGATAGCGAGCCCAAACGTGTATAGAGCTCATTTGGTGTGGCTTGTCTCAACTAGCAGTCGCTCGTGACCACTCATCTCACTTCGGAGTGGTGTCGGTTTTTCTGCACAAATCAAAGACTCGACTGCATTCGGCCAATAGTCTTTACAAAAAAAAATAAGATAGGTAAATTAATAACTACAAAACTATAGTGAAAAATAGGCATTTTGCATATTACACATTGCTGGTGGATGACTTTACCATCTCAGTGAACCGTGACTATGGGACCTGTAAAGGGCCCGAAACGTTGGTTTGTTTGAAAAAACAAATATCCGCGTTTTAAATCCGAAAAATAGATTCATTTCCAAAATTGTAAAATGTTAATGTAAGTTGTACGTTTCACTTCTACGTCGTGCATATAGTTTCAATCCACAATAAAAACTGACGGCGCACAACATGTGCAGCTGAACAAAACTCGTGTACATTGGTCGTTTGTATTGCTCTTCTTCAAACTTGTCGAGAATAGATTCCCAAAAATTTTGGCTCACGGCCCACTTAAGCAAAATAAAAAATTTCAACGCCCTACACCAGAAAAAATTATTGAAAACACGTATTTTTATATGAACTTAACTCAAAAAATCACAAGGAAAAAAAATTATATGTATATTATGTAGTAATAATAACAATAACGCACACACTCAACATGGCCCCGCACTAGGGAAACCCTTTGTCGCGGGCTGCCATGGACACACACATAGACAACCACAAATCATACCCAAAGTCACGAGATAAATAAATGAAGGCCATAGAAATATTTCTCCCGGCCCGGGTCGATACCCCGGGTCGATAACTTGGGACCTCCGCGTGGCAGTCCGGCATGGTAACCGTTTGGCCACGGAGGCACTTTATAATTGGTTGGTAACTGTATAATTCAAAACAAATGTGGTTTTTGTACGCAAACATCCAATTACCGGGTCATATTTCGGGCTATGATCTTTTGTATATTAATTGTACAAAAGCGAGCTTATCCCATAAAGGGGGTTTCTTCCAACTTAACTTTGTAACTATTAAGGTCTTATTCACTGACGGCACGGAAGTGATTGTCTCGGTGGGCTAAAATAAAAAAAATTGACTATACACAGCGGTAGCGATATCCGCGTAGGTTTGAACAGTAGGAATACTGCATAGCCATTCGGATTTCGCTACCCACAGCAGTAGCGTCGGAGTCCGGCATGGTAATCGTTCGGCTACAAAGGCAGTAGTGTAGTTTAATATATAATAATTCAGGTTTTTTTCAAATGCGGTAGCACTCCCTGGACAACATCAACGCCATCCAATTGCTTTCGAGGCCCCTACCGCCCCTCTAGGACTCTTCAGCGCCCACTGGGCGGTAGGGACGACTTTGGGAAACTAGGGTCTAGACAGTATAACTAGCCGTGTATCAATTTGCCTACGCTCTCGTTGGTTTAGACTCGACGAACATGTATTAAGTTTGTCTAAGATGTTATCAGCCTCGCAGTACTTTATGTTATTCTCTAACTTACCAGTAGTTTCATTGTTGCTTGCAATGTTGAGTTCAGAAATTTGTTCACAGTTGGCAACTATATTCCTATTTGTCAATTCCACCCCTTTTGGCAATCCGGTTGTACCACTGGAATATGGCAGGAGGCAAATATCTTTTGCACTTCTTCTGACTTCTTTCAAACAATCCTTATCTATATGGGAATCTTCGCTTAATTCACTGAAAAGTATTGTACCAGCTGGTGCTGCGTCCCCATTGGTTCGAACAACGATAACATTTAAGTCCAATTTCGCTTGTTTCAGCGCTTCCTTGACGACTTTGGTCAGTTCTGGCAGTGTTACTACTAGTTTAGAGTTGGACATTTGAAGTTGGCGTTGAACTTCGTCTGGAAAAGAATATGATCTGTAATTTCTCCTGTTTATTAAAAGCAAAGTTGCGTCCTTATTATTTCGTACTTATACATCATACTAAACATATATAAACATATATATACATATATATGTTGGTTGGAGGTGAATTAGGTTCTGGTATGTTAGCATAAATAACAAGTAAATATAATATATAATTATAATCAATAATGTTCAATTAAATTTCATTCTTAGTTTATCCTATTCTATATATAAGTAGTGAGTATAATGCTTTTTATACCTATTTTGCTATATGGTCAGCGCGTGTATCATTTGATTCATAATTTAAGATTTTTACTCAATTTCTGTGTTGTTTTATAGTAGTTGTATAATTTCGGTGAGTGAGGTGCCTTCTGAAATATATATTTAATTATAAATTGCATACTGCGGTGTCTGCAGCAACTAATTTATTTAAATTTCTACGTCAAAATTTTTTTATCACCAGGTAAAGCCTGAAAACCAGCATCTTGCTGAGGCTGTAACCTTTTCTTCATTACAGACCTTTTAAGTTATTATTTTAAGTGTTTATGTATTGTTTCCTGTGTTGAAGAATAAAGTCCCTTTTATTTTATTTTTTTTATTTATAAATAGTATAATTTAACGTATTCATAATTAAGTTAGTAGGTTTACTGTTTCTCAATATGTAGTAAATATACCGAACTTTTTCCTTGTAATAAATACAACACCTGCATTTGTATGTAGTACAAAATTACATTATATTGTTATATTCGTCGTCAAAAAACATAATCACTTTAATTTATATATTCACATATAAATGATTGGAACTTGAAGTTTTCTGTAATATGCACGTCGATTAATTATTGACGATTTTTTACCGACTTCAAAAAAGGGGAGTTTCTCAATTCGTCTGATTGTTTTTTTTTTTTGTATGTATGATACGCGATAACTTTGAATATAAATTCGTGAACAGATTGTAATGATTATTTTTTGTCAGAAAGAGGGTAACTCAGTAATGGTCCCATTTAAATTTGAAGAAAATATTCCACCTCTAAGGGTGGCAGACTAGGGGATGAAACCGGTTTCGCGCCTTTCCGGTAACCGATTTCAATAAAACTTCAATAAAAATTCCAAGAACCTTTGGGGTCGGTTTTTTTAGTACTCTGCACTATAGCTGGCAGGCCTGATTGCACTTACGTAAACCACTGTAGTATAGTACACTTAAACAAAAGGTGCCACTATTATACCATATTATAGGTATCGTGAATGTTGTTAATTGTAATTTAATTTTGATTATTTGAATTAATTATTAATACAAAGATCGAACACTCAAAAAAAATACTTCGATCCAGCCGGATTCGAACCGACGTCTTCTAGCTTACCGTGCTAGACGCTATACCAACTAAGCCACGGAACGAACCAGCGGACCTCACGAATTTTTCTATGTCCTTGCGTCGTGTCTTTGTATTTGGTTTTTTCAACGACTTTTTAGTCGTAGCGCCATCTATGAAAGATTTATCACCCAGTTAGTACCTTTACAGTTACCAGTCCTAACGAGAGATGTCGCTATTCGCTGTATTTTAAATTTTTATTGAATTGATATTCAATTATTTTTTGTGAAATTACTCCACTACTTTGTTCTAATGATTAATACAAAGATCAATCACTCAGAAAAAATTCCTTCGATCCGGCCGGATTCGAACCGACGTCTTCTAGTTTACCGTGCCAGACGCTATACCAACTAAGCCACGGAACGAACCAGCGGACCTCACGAATTTTTCTATGTCCTTGCGTCGTGTCTTCGTATTTGGTTTTTTCAACAACTTTTTAGTCGTAGCACCATCTATTCTCTATTTATTATATATTATCTATTTGAATTAATTTTATATATTTGGACATTATTTAAATTTTCATTAATGTAACTTCAAATATAATGAATATAATATAATTAGTAGTGTTATGTAATTCTATGTATTAATATAATTATGTACTATGTTGCCAAATATTGAGTTTTTGAATTTAAATTATTACTGATTAGGTACAGAACCCAAAAGTATAAGTTGCAATCAGTAATGTATAACAAACACGTACAAAATAATCATAAACAACTTACGGGCTGTGTAAGCAGGGTTAATAGTAGATACAACTCCACCGGCCTCCAAAATTCCTAAAGTGATCAATGGGTAGTCAGGAGTGTTAGGTAATATGACACTGACAATGTCGCCATCTCTTATTTTAAACTTCTTGCGAAGATTGGCTGCGAAGTTGCTGCTCAGTCTGAAACCTTGTTCGTACGTGTAGCCGCGACCTGTTGTTGCACACACCTGAAATTTAACCATTGTAAGCACTTGATTTAACAAGTTTTCACTTTTTGTTTTCTTAAAACGTTTCACTATCCGTAAACAACAGCTTGTAATCCAATGAAAATTTGACTCTATGTGACTTTGAAAACAACGTTCTTGGCACATTTATAATGTGGAAAGACAGTGCATTGTGTTCCACACGTTGCGTCTGCGTCAAATTATTATTACTAATTGAAATTCAGTTTCTAAGAAAAACAATATACCCAGTGACGGATTTGCAGTCTTGACCGCTCTAGGTCCCAGGCCATGTTGTCAGTACCAGCCACCCCTTTCTCAGCACTTATCACATACTGGTAGACTACATAATGAATTTACGTTGCAGACTTTTAGGTAGACCTTTTTAAGACCTAAAATTTTCTAGAATATTGATTTGATTTATCTCTGTTACACATATCTATATTTTATACACAAAGTGTACGAAAGTGATTTAGGAAGATTATTGTTATATGATGCAGTGCCGCCCGCCATAATGTGCGTGAGTCTTTAGAATATTTAGGTACTTTGAATTATTTTTTGTTATCAGAAGTAAATTTTTTGTCACGATGGACCACCCCTAAAACCTGACAAATCCGCCACTGAATGTACCATTTTAACGGAGCCACACTAACTTCAAATATTTCAAATATAACTAACTTTATCATCTAATATATTTATTAATAGAAATATCGAATACAAAGAAATTATTTCGATATGATAGGACTTGAACCTGCATTTGTGCCATACCAGGGTGACTGCTCTACCAACTGAGCTACAGATCAAGTAAGCAGACCTTACCAATTTTTCTATGCGTGTTACAGGTGGTTTGCTTTTGACTTTAACGGATTTCATCGACTTCGTAATTCATTATTAGACTCGACTGGCGATCGGGCAATGAGTTAAACCCGCCCGGGTCTTAACCGGGTTTTTACCTAAAGGTTTTAGCCCATTTCTTGCCAAAATTGTGAGCAAAATATCTGTTTTTTAGACGAAAAAGAGGCAACTCCACACTATAGCCACCTTGCAATCCTGTAGGTTCTCACCTGCTAAGGATGCACATTACGATTTCATTAAATTTTTCTGAAGATCGATTCAAGTGCATACGATTGACAACACCGATTTATTTCAACACGATTTTCAAGCGAATCGATTCACTAGACAGGCAAATCGAATCATCTAGATCAAAAAGCAATAATATATATTTTGTAATAATATCAATTTTTTATTTAATATTCATTTTCAACAAAACTCTATTCTCAACAAATATTTAGTTTTAAATAGTTTTTGCCCACGATTTTGAGAGTTAATGGGTTTTTAACCGATTTAAACCGCTTGACAAAGCGCCAGATCACAACTCTGACTCTGGTCCTGTCAGATCGAAGGATTTCTTTGTAAGTGTTCGATCTTTTTATTAATATAATTATATCAAACTTGTGGGGCAATTTCACAAAAAATAATTAAATATCAATTCACTGCAAATTTAATTAAAGGTAATAGCGACATCTCCAGTCAGGGCTGGTAGCTGTAAAGTTATCTAACTGGGTGACGAAATACTTTCATAGATGACGCTACGGTTAAAATTCGTTGAAAACCAAATACAAAGACCCTACAATAAGCACATAAAAAATGAGTGAGCTCCGACGGTCCGTTCCGTTCCGTTACCGTGGCTTAGTTGGCATAGCGACTGACACGGTTTGCTAGAAGACGTCGGTTCTAATTCGGACCGAAGGAATTTTTTCTACGTGTTCGATCTTTGTCTTTATTAATAATTAGAATATCAAAGTACTAAAACATCATAATATTCATTACCATTGACTTACAAATAAATGGACGACGGGCCTAATACAAAAACCACGAAAAAAATGTCCCAAGTCAACCTATTCGAAATTTAAATTGCAATGTCATCGCAGTATCGCGCTGTCAGTCGAACAAATGAAGACTAAAGCGGAGTTTGGCGCTCTGTATACGATTTTAGCGCCTTACAAGTGCGGACACTTTTTAGCGCGGACCCGACGTCCATATAATTGTAAGTCAATGTTCATTACAATCAATGTTATCATCTATTTTTAATTATATAAAAAGTTCATAATAATTTGTATTGAGTACCTAGAGCATGAAGCTTTTGATTAACTGTAATTTTAAATTTGGAACACGTTTGTTCTTAGTATTACCACAGTCTAACCAATTATTCTTTACACTGTGGTATTATTATGTATTAACTAATATCTTTTTTTTTAAGATGTTATAATTAAGTGGCTACATTAGTATTTTAATTGGAATTCGTGTATGATATTGTTGGTAGTGCATAATTATGTTTAAATTAGTAATAAGATCGCGAATTACTAGCTTTGTAGGGCTCTTTAAAGTCCCTAATAAAATAAATAAATAAATTTCTACTTACTGCAGCAGTCCTTTCGGGCCATTTCTCCAAATTCTGCCACACATAGTCAAAGAGTGTGCAATTTGGTATTTCAAGATTCTTATACGGAGACGTGATAATATTATCTTGTGTCCAACAACTACTTTTTCTCACTTGAATACTCGAACATTTTATACTCTTATGCAATAATTTTAAGGTTCTTTGTATAGTCATTACGTTTTTTGAAGCCATTGTTCGAGAAGATTCCGTAAGTAATTTGTTGCTTCCTATTACAATGAAGATGTATAAACTGTGAACAAAGTGATAAGATTGTTTTAAATTGCTGAAAGATAAAGTAAAGAAGTAAAAAATAGCAAAATTTACTGGCTTGTTTTTATAGTAATTTACATTGCTTGCGCAAATGCCGTACAGTGTTATTTTGTTTACATTTATTTCTTAGTGTATCTAAAATATTCTACTTTATAACCGTACGCAGTGTTAGGTAATTTTCCAAAAAATTTGAGACTGATTACAAAAATGTAATTCGAAGACTCATATACCGGCCCCCGACCGGGCGCCCCAACCGGCCCCATAACCGGGGCTCCCAACCAGGCCCCCCAACAGGGCCCCCAAACGGGGCCCCAACCGGGGCACCCAACCGCCCCATAACCGGGGACCCGAGCCGGGGCTCCCAACCGGGCCCCCCAACTGGGCCTCCAACCGGGGCCCCCAACCGGGCCCCCCAACAGGGCCCCCAACCGGGGCCCCAACCGGGGCCATAACCGGGGACCACAACCGGGGCCCCCAACCGGGCCCACCAACTGGGCCCCCAACCGGGGCCCCCAACCGGACCCCAACCGGGGCCCCACCCGGGCCCCCAACCGGGGCCCCATAACCGGCACCCCAACCGGCCCCACAACCGGACCCCCAACCGGTCCCCCAACCGAGCCCCCAACCGGCCCCCCAACCGGCCTCCATAACCAACGCCCTAACTCACCCCCATATGCCCTATAAATTTATCATAATTGTCAGTTTTAATTGTTAATTGTTAATCAAAAATATTGAAAAGGTTGAAAATTGATTAATTGTTAATTGTAGATATTTGCGATTAACGATTGATCAATTGTTAGTTGCGAGAACCGCAATTAACAATTGATTAATTGTTAATTGCGGTTCTCGCAAATAACAATTGATCAATCGTTGATTGCTGTTTCGCAATTGACAATTAATTAAATGTCAATCTTTAATTGCCAGAACAATTAAATTTTGCCCAACACTGTGTATGACCACTCTTAAAGCATACAACACTGGAGGCGCCATCCATAGACAGTACCTTTGTCTACTACTAAATACTTCTTTGGAAGCGATTTGTTTTTTTTTCTTCACTTCCACTATTGAATTAATCGCGTCAATTGCACTACGAAATATTTATTTCGATAAATATCGATACTGTTTGTAAATATGGATACGATATATCAATTGCTCATCCCTATCTTCAATTTTTTACAAGTGTCACTGTGAAATGTTTAAAAATATTTATTTTTCTCCAAAATGGAAATTTTTCCATGACCCAACATTAACCATATGTAATGTTGACTTTTCATGACCTTAGTACGTGTTGACCCTTTCAATGTTAAGTTATATAAAATGAGCAACATCGCGAGGATTAAAGTCCATTTTTAAGAATACAATCAGCGTGATTAACGGGTACCAGCACATACACTTTTACAAAATTTAGATTCCATGTTTTGTGTCACTGACTGCAAAACTATGCATGAATAAATTACCTTTAAATTAAAAAAAAAACTTTAGAGTTGTAAATTGCAAGAATAGTTATTTTAAAATATCCGAGTAACGGCAACAACTTGTTATGTATTTATTGCCTCTAAAGACCTTGGAAGGAGCGCTTTGTTCTATTTATAAACATGCATAGATTATAAATGTTATTTGTACCTAAAGTACATGTGCGAAGAGAGTCACCGAGTGCATTGACTCTCGTCACGTCACGTCGACAACTTGGGTGCAATTGCTAGAAAATTATCATAAAGGACGTATATGTATATTGTAACGTCTCTGGGCTCGCTAAATTAAAATTCGATGTTCATAGATAACATTCGATGAAATTATTTCCACAAATGAATAATAAGTAGTCCGTCTATTGGCAAATTGTATGGTACAATATTATGACAATGTAACCAACGGTTATTTTTATTAGAAATTTGAAATTCAATTCCGTATTTAGAACACTAGAACATCAGCGACAACGAAGTTTTTCATCTCCTTTGACTGATTAGAAACAGAAACAAAAAAGAGGAGTTTTCAATCTCCTTTAACTAATAATTAAAAAAGACAAAACAAAAACGAGGAGTTTGCAATATCCTTTTATTTTGAGTACCTACTTGAACAAAAAATTTATACCACTTGAGGGTACCCAAAATTTAACTGTATGATAATAATACCGTGAAGATTTTTGTGAAATGTAGTTTATAAACTTTGATCTAGAGACCATTAAACGTATTAACTGAACCAACTATGTAAGTATGTATGACTAAATATTTGTTTCAACCGCGCCAGTCCCACTTACGCCAACGCTATACAAAACCGGTCATTTCGAAATTAACACTTCACAGCACTTTCAAATTTCCTTACAATCAAATAAAACAAACAGGCATACCTATAATTACTTATTTCACAGAAATGCTGAAGTCAAATAAATAGTCACAAATAAAGTTATGTTTTAAAAACAAGGAGCGAACGTACACTCCCTCCAAGAGTCAAGCATTCACTAAAACGTAAACAACTTCTAACCACAATCAAGAAACATACCTCCACCAATAAACAACATTATTCTAGCGCTTATTGTCATTCAGCATACATTGAAGCGTGATACGTACCTTGTATCACATAAATAGAAGAGAAACATCAATGGATATCAAACATATGGTAACGGTAGTTATTTTTTACGATTTATCGGCGAGTCAATGATAATGGTTACGTAGTTTAATAGGTTGTGTAAGCGTATGCGGGAAGGCACGTTTAATGTGTAAATATGACGGTACATGAATTTAAATTATTGTTTATCGAAATTAAATGTGCATCAACGATATATCTCGGGCCTCCAGGCACCAAACATTATTACAGGGTGTCTGTAGTAGATATACAACCTAAAAGCACGAAATTTATTGCTACCTCCTTCTTCATGCGGAAGTCTGTTAAAGGAATGGAACGTGAATGGAACTCTATTTACCTTATACAAGTTCTTTAAAAAAGATTTATATACCTTCTGGTAGGGTTACCATCCGTCCGGCTTTGTGACCTTCAATCCGCATTTTATCCGGATTTTTCGGGTTTGGGTAACAATTTTCAGAATAAAAAGTAAAATATCCATATCGCAATTCTGTAGTGAAACTCGATTTACGATTAAAATTTTGTTTCCGGCGGCTTGTCCATCTCTGTTGCCGTGTGAGAGAGAGCTTTTCGATTTTATTTCTTAAAAGTCCAGACAAATAATCCGGACTATTCCAATTTTAGAATGTTAACCCTACTTTCTATGCAATAATATTCCATCCTTGACTTGACTGATGTACAGCCAGGTGATATTGTAATAATTTACTTGCTTATTAGCCAATAAAAAGTACTAATTTGAAAGCAAACATTTCTGACTGAAATTTAGTACCTATATATTTTACGGAATCATCTACTGCTAAACATGGCATAAATTTCTTTAAAACGATATGGCTTAGTAGAAAATGCAATGTATGCAAATAAGATTAGTAAGCTTTTTGGTGACTTTGCGAAGCTCCGCGGTCAGTCTCAGAGTTAAAGGAAAACTGCATATATTCCAATATCTAGTCATTTATTATACAGTAATATACAAGAGCGATCCGTTTAGTTCTTCCATGATGCTGATGATATTTTTAAATCAACAGATTACCAATGGAATTAAGCCTTAGCTACGACTAATATAAATAAATAAATTTAAGATTACTGTGTGAATTGTGTGTGTGTATGGAGCGCGCTTGCCTCGGCCAGGCGGGATCCGATGACGTCAGATGACGTCACATTGGTTGGTAAGTAATGTTTGTCGTGCGTGTTTTTGGAGCTACGGTAGTATAACCGCGTAATTTTTTTTACCTACGAAAAAATTAAAACACAGAATTTTAAATTATTTTTTTGTTCTACATACATAGATAACAATAATTGTAACTATTTCATTGAAAACAAAAATCGCCCTGAAAAGTTTGCTTATCGGCTCTTTTCGTTTTCCATGGGATCCCCACATCGGATTCTGACTTCTTGGTGACAATGAGACTGTTACGAACTCCTTTGTACGTACATTTTATACTTTTTTCTGGTTGTCATGCTGACGGTCATTTGTTGATCACATGTATTGTGACAAGTAAACAGTATACTTTAATTTGCGGAAAGCATTTTTTTTAATTTGTGATAACCGAAACGAATCCGGAACAGCATCGTCGGCATCAGGGACCACCTCGAGAGTATACCCTTTCAAGTAAAAAGAATTTTCAAAATCGGTCCACAATTGACGGAGAAATTGGTGAGTACACTACATGCTTATGAAATTTGAGGATTTTTCTCGATTGCTATAGGATCTCTTCAGATTCTGACTTGATGACCCACCACGAGAGTGCACCCTTTAAAACGAAAAAATAATTTTAAAATCGGTCCACAATTAACGGAGAAATCGGAAAACGTACAAACAGTCTAACGTATAACCTCCTCATTTTTTTAAACTCATTATAACTATTTATTTTTTAAAAACCGGGTTCAAAAGTCAGCTCCGCTTTCGCTCTGTTCGATACCGTGGTCTCCTCCACGATAACTGGAAGTTCTTGTCGAAACGAGTAATATGAACACAAGGTAGTTGCTGCACTTATACTGTTGAAGAGTTCATCTCTCTACCATTTCCATCATCGGGATCAAAGTCACCATAATAACATTTTACTTGCATTGGAATTATATGTATTTGTCTAGTTTTATTAAAATCAATTAACGGAAAATTGATGAAATTCAATAAATATGATTTTTCCCCTAATTTGCCGTCCTTAAAGGAGGAATATCTCCTTGAAATTTATATGGGACTACTAGTCACCCCTTTCCAACAAAAATGAATCATAGGTATCAGAGGCCTGAGCGTAAATACATAATCATTCAAATTTAATTACAGCGTTTGCGTTAACATTTTCATTTAGATCTTAATTATAATGGTTATAAGGTTTAAATTAAAATCTTAACGCAAGCGCG